GGCACACGGAACACTTTTACCTTCCCACCAAAGTGGCCCCTATTTTTCTACTTGCATTTTTTATGTGCTTTCGAACTGCTAGGTTGGCAGAAGCTGGGACAAGCAACGGGAGCTCACTCTGTTACACGGTGCTAGGGATTCGAACTGCCAAACTGCTGGTTTTTCTGATTGACAAGCTCAGCAGCCACTGAGCCACCGCATCCCTTTAAGAGTGTAGACAACCGTGTTTAAAATATGTTATGGAAGAAGAACAAGTTTTACTGGATAAGACTGACACCAGTAAAGTGGATTGAAAGTGGATTTAAAAATGATAAGCTACAAGAATGATATGAAAAAAGATGCTAGACTGGATTTACAAATGAAACCAGCTAATGTCTTAATAATTATAGGGGATGCATAAATGGTAAACCAAAAAAGCAACTTGGATAACTCTCTTATATTGGATTTACAAAAGAGACTTTTTAAAGTTCTGAAGGATTTTGTAAGAAGAGCCAAAGAAAAAATGAAAAGAAAACAAGTTCTAAGATTAGAGTTTGAAAGAACTAAAGATCAAGATTGCTATAAATAAAAGGAATGAATTCAAAATGTTTTTTAATCAAGCTTGAAATAGATATGTTGATATTTCTGATGACCTGTTAATAAACTTTTGCTGTTAAGGATTGAATGAGGAGTTTAAGAATTTGTTTATAGATAAGAGATAAACTACAAGGAAAAAAAGATTATTGTATTTTAAGACATGGTGATAAGTTACTAAAATTCTTTATACTTGTCATGAAAGGGAATTCATTTCTTTATATATTTGTTTTTTCCTTTACAATGTTCTATTTTTTTATTTTCTATTTTTCTACTTTTCCTTTTTGCACTATTTATTTTGTAGTTTATTTATGTACTTATCTGTATTAATAACATTTTAAAAAGTTTATGAAAACTTTTATTTTTCTTTCTAGTTTGGGATCAATTATATTTTCTGTATCAGAAGGAAATCACTATTGCCAAGAAATTTAAAAGGAAAATTGTTGGGAAATGTTGTCCCCTCCCTTCCTATGGGTCATTTCTTCAGAATCTTTACCAACTGCCTGCATCTGAATCCCAGCAATGTTTTCTCCTGTGAGAATTAACAGTGCCCTACCACTAACACCTCTGTTGACTTTTCAGCCCCTGCTGTCCACCCAACACTTGATCTTAAGTTCTGCTGGGATTTGCATTTTGCTTCCCACATTCCGAGCATTGATAGACTCCAGAGGAAACCGCAAGCTGAAATGGTCTCCCCTTCCAAGCCAGCTTTTATAACATCAACAAAAGTCAGAGGAGGGACAAGAAAAGAACAACCTTAAAACACTAACCCCAAAGCTGTTACTTTTGAGGGATGCATTTTCAATGTTGTTGTCATTGGCGAGATCACAGACACAGAAGTGGTTAACTGATATGAGTCGGTAGCCGTTGGAGGTCCCAAAATCTCTCTCTGGATTGATGCCACTGCCAAAAACAAAACTTGCCAGGGAGTGATAATGTGCCAAAAGGACCACAGCATGCACCAGTTCAGGAAGAGACCAATTATTTTCCCCTGTCTTCACAAGTTTCTGAAACAAAACAAGAGGGGAAAAAACACTACATATATGAATTTATGTTTTTTATATATAGGCACAAGAAGCAGGCAGGATGTGTTTTCCTCGGCTGAGTTTTAATTTCTGAGTTGGAAGCAGAAAAACCAGAGTATGCCAGAAACCCTTCTAGTCTAATCTCCTTGAATCATTGCAGCACAATTTAGAGATACTGCATGTTTCCCACCCTTTCCGCTGCAAAAATATAAATCAAAATGGAAAAGCAAGACTCTTTAGTGTTTAACCAGGATTGTAATTAAATGGTTTGATATCTCAGACAGATTCATTTTTTCAATGGAAAAGCTCAAGGACCCTTAGCTCCCAAATTTTGAACAAAAATGATGGTTACAAATCTCAAACAGTGCATATTGGCTATGCCTCCCATGGAATATTTATAGATAAAGGTTCCTCAGCTACATTTCATCTACAAAGCAAGAGCCCTTCCAAAGATGGTAGGATTTGTTTTTTTTTTATACAAAAGGGAAGCATCATAAATAAAAAGCTTTAAAATCATATTAATATAACTCATTTAGAGAGATTACTTTTATAAGTAAATTATTATGCATTCTGACCTTGCCAAATTACTGGAATCTTGTCTCTGGGGTGCTATTGAAAAGGCAAGGGTGGCTTTAGCCTTGTGCAAGCCCACTTTAAGGTATTTTACAGTTTAATACTATTACTATTCATCTTCTCATCCTTCCTTTCACCCATCTCCTCCCATTTATGACTGCATGAATGTAACTTTGTTGCTTGTATCCTAATGATTTTTTTTGACTGCTTACTAGTATAATTTGATTTGATTTGATCGCTTATTATGTTTCCTAGTATGATTTGATTGCTTATTTGTACCTTTTGACTACTATTAAGTGTTATACCTATGATTCTTGACGAATGTTTTTTTTTTCTGAACACTGAGAGCATTTGCACCAAAACAAATTCCTTGTGTGTTCAATCACACTTGGCCAATAAAGAATTCTATTCTATTCTATATTAAATTTCAAGTAGAATGGCAGGGAGGCAAGCTGTACCTGCTTTTATAACGAACTGTAAAATGAAACTGTAAAACTGTCTTTTCTGAAAAAAAGACAAGAGCATAAACACTTTTCTCTTTTGACTGTTGTCTCATTCCCTCTAGAAGGGGTGAGTATTCACTTCCCAGGCATTACAACATGACTTAAGATTTGCAAGGAGTTTCGGTAGGTGCAGTTTTGGGTGAGAGATTTGCCTGCAAACCTCTTCCTCCTTTGAAAAGAAACAAACACACTTCCCAATGGCCTGACAGATCTTTTAATAACAAAGCCCCCAAACCCTTTAACCAAACAGGAAAAACCGCTTTAGGAGCTGCATTTAAAAATGTTCCTTCTGACTGCTCTTTTATTCCTTGACTTGGTGACGTCTCATTCACAGAAAGTTGAGCTCAAAGCAGTGGTGGGATTCACATTTTTTTACTACTGGTTCTATGGGTGTGGCTTGGTGGGCATGGCAGGGGAAGGGTACTGTAAAATCCCCATTCCCTACCCACTCCAGGGGGAAGGTTACTGCAAAATCCCATTCCCTCCCCATCCTATTAGCCTGCTTTCCAGCTCCGTTCTCCTTTCCAGAACAACAAAAGAAGTCCCAGCCAATCTTGGGAAGCAGAGAATAGATGGGGCGGGGTGAGTCAGAGGTGGTATTTGCCAAACTGGTCAGAACCTGCTGTGAATACCACTTCTGGCTCAAAGACAGATGTGAGAAGAGCTCATTCCCACCAAATCTTAGCAAAAGCTGTAAAGTTTTAGCACAGGCAAATGCTTGGACATCTGGCTTTGCCTTCTCTAACCGATTCTTTCAAAAAATAATAATAGTAATAATAAATGTACCTGAATGTGCTCTTTGGAAACCAGCCAAGGTCGGTGTGCAAGCAACTTGTTGATTTCGTTCAGATTTTTCAGCCTTTGAGGAATGTATTCTAAGCCGTTCAGCCATTCTTGTATCCCTCCAGTCTTCAGGAACTCTTCCACGTGTATATTTATTAGATAGGAACATTGGTGCCTGGCAGCAGCCTGAAGAGAAAACCCAAAGAGGCATATTGGAAAACAGGTAGGCAGAAGATGTAAGGGGGGGGGAGAGAAAAGCTTTTACCACAAGGAAGAGGGAACCCTGCATTCAAGTGTTTCCACAAGAAAAGCTCACAAGAAATTTCACTGCAATTGCTTTAAACAGAAAAGAGGACGTGTGAAACATATGCAGGTAGACCTCGACTTACAACAGTTTGTTTAGTGACTGTTTGAAGTTACAACAGCACTGGAAAAAAAAACTTGATTTATGATCATTTTTCACGCTCACGACCACTGCAGCATCCCCTTGGCCACGTGATCAAAATTCAGAGGCTTGGCAACTGGTTCATATTTATAATGGGTTGCATTGCCCTGGGGGGTCCTTCTGCGACCTTCTGACAAGCAAAGTCAATGGGGAAGCTAGATTCACTTAACAACCAGGTTGCTAACTTAACAACTGCAGTGATTCGCTTAACAACTGTGGCAAGAAGAGTCCTAAAATGGGGGGAAACTTACTTCACGAATGTCTCACCTAGCATCGGAAATTATGGGCTCAATTCTGGTTGTTAAGTCGAGGTCTACCTGTCTATTGCTGATGCAGAATGCCAGTGTAGCCAAGCTTAAAACGGCTAAGGCTAGGGATACCCTCTGCATGAATGTTTCATACAAAAATAAGAACTCTGGCACAACAATTATGATGAAGAACTGTAAGTGTAGAAGCCGTCCGCTTAAATTTGGCCTTTCCCAGGAATTCATTGTGGCTTTAAGAAAACGGCTATTATTCAGCCATAATCCTTCTAACACCACTAGGAGAACAACAATATATTGCACTGCAGTAAGAAGTTTTGACTATTGGAAAAATTATTTATGAATGTTGAAAACGTTGTATTTTAGCCATTGTGAAAGTTTTAAAACTATACATTATAGTTTTAATTGATTCCAAGTGCAGAATTCAAAGTTCCTTGTTTGGAATGGTATTATTTAAAGTATTATTGGCCACATATTATCATGGATTATTAAGAGCCACGGTGGTGCAGTGGTTAGAGTGTAGTAGTGAAGGCTACTTCTGCTGCCTGCAATTCGCAGTTCGAATCTCACCAGGCTCAAGGTTGACTTGGCCTTCCATCCTTCCAAGGTCGGTAAAATGAGGACCCAGATTGTTGGGGGCAAGATGCTGACTCTGTAACACCACTTAGAGGGCTGTAAAAAGCACTGTAAAGCAGTATAGAAGTCTAAGTGCTATTGCTATTGGCTATATGTCTCACACAATGATCATACATAGCTCACAACCACTATATTTTGAGTGAACAAAGCACACCATTGCCCATAAAATGTTGAAAATGAAGAAACTCCATCTATGACTATAAATATATATATATATGTATGTATGTGTGTATGTATGTATATGTATGTATATATATATGTGTGTGTGTGTGTGTGTGTACACACACACACACACACGGTATATATATATGGTATTCGTCAGACGAACACAATTCAGAAGCCTGATGATGGCAGATGAGATTCTGCCGAAACGTTGCTACAACTTTAAAAGCACAACTATAATGACGTGGGAAAATACCCGAACAAAGCTGAATACTATATGTGTGTGTGTGTGTGTGTGTGTGTGTGTGTGTGTGTAAATGTATATGTATGTGTGTGTGTGTGTATATATATATATATATATATAGAGAGAGAGAGAGAGAGAGAGAGAGTGTGTGTGTGTGTGTGTGTGTGTGTGTGTGTGTGGTCCAGCTGCTAGATGTCCAGCTCTTGAAGAAAAGATCAACTAGATGTGGGTGACAGTGTTATCTCCTTTCAGTTCAGAAGAAGGTGACACTTGCTTTAACTTACAACACTAGTGGAAAACATACTAACGTAATTATGACGGGAGATGAATCAAGACTTTTTCAGAGCTTACCATGATTGCTATGTAGTGCCGGTAAGGCAAAGGAAGAGGACCATCCACACGCAACATATAAAATTGACTGCGGAGGAAAGACTCCAGGTACTGAATGTGTAAACTCATGACCTGAGTGACGTTGTCTAGGCGACCGGATGTAGAATATTCTTCCACAAGCAGATGCATACGTTCATTCAAACTATTGGCTTGCATAACCTTTGGAGAAAGTTCAAAAGAAAAAAAGGGGAAAAAAAGACATTATTGATCTGATTCAGTTTTATAGGTCATAAATAATTATTCCAAGACATCCTTTGAGGAAGAAGCAGGTGTGGAAGTTTAAGTAAGATTAAGTGAAGAGACTTAGACTTAGAATAACTTTATTGTCACTTTTGAATGTACACTAAGCAGCATACATTAAAATGAAATTTCATGCAGCTCTCAAAGGTCTCCATGCCTCTAATATACACTATGGAAACATGACTAAATAAATAAATACAGAATTATGCATATACCCACGCAAATAGGGAAGAACTAAAATAATAAAAAAATAACAAAACATATATAGAATATCAGCCACAGTATGACAGAATTTCAGTTGCACTGAAGGCCATCTGAAGAAACCTAGGAGTTTATCCTAAGTGGTTTAGCCTGATGCTGAACTACAATCTGTTGAACAAAGCTAGTGTCAGTCTTGAAGATAAGTTGTCAGACCTGCCTCAACTTAGGCTTCTAACTAAAAACGATCCTTAACACCATCGGGCTGAGAAAGGTACAGTCTGCACAACCCCCATGGTAGTTTATTTCTCTGGGTAGACAGGTAATGCAGTTCTGGCTTGATGTCAGACCTGCCTCAGCTTGATCTTCTCACTAGAAACGATCCTTAATTCCATTCAGTGAGAAAGGTATAGTTTACTAGAAGTCAAGTGAATTACAGTACTGCAAAGCCAGAACTGAAATTTGTGCGCCAAAATCCCAAGTGAAAACGTTTCCCCACTTATTCGAGACTTCCCAGTGTTGGTCCCCACTGTCCAATCAATTTCGAAGAAGAGATTTTGGAAACGGCTACTACGATTGTAGGCTGGCTTGCAGCTGCATTCTTCTCATTGCGGAGCGACCTTGATGCGCCGTCTCAGGCAGGCAACTTCGCTTTCTTAACTTTTACTTTCCCTCCCCAAGTGCTCCCCCTCCCTCCTCTCCCCCTCCGCCCAAGATTCATGGCAGACTGGTGCCGAAACGATTGCAGAGCGCAGGTGTGAGGTGGCAGTTCTGACATAAGCAATCTGTTCTTTTTATTCTTTGGCCAATACCAGAAAAAGTAGGTAGAGGAAGGAACAAAAATGAAGCAATAACCTAAGTCCAGATACAGCAAAATAAAATATGACAGGATTTGAAAAACAGAAGACAAAAGTCCTCATGTTTCTTTTTTAGGATCGGTTTAGGCTGAGGTAAGTAAACAACTACATGATGGCTTATACAAGTATTCCTCAACGTACAAAAGTTCGTTTTGTGACCATTCAAAGTTACAATGGCACTGAAAAAAGGGACTTATGACAGTTTTTCACAGTTACGACCTTTCCAGCATCCCCGAGGTCACGTGATGGAAATTCAGATGCTTGGCAACTGATTCATATTTATGACTGTTGTTGTGTCCCAAAATTATGTGATCACCTTTTGCGACCTGCTGGCGAGCACAGTCAATGGGGAAACCAGATTTACTTAACAACCGGGTTACTAACTTATCAACTGCAGTGATTTATTTAACAACTGAGGCAAGTAAGGTTGTAAAATGGGGTAAAATTCACTTAACAAATGTCTCACTTAACAACATAAATTTTGTGCTCAATTCTGGTCATAAGTTGAGGACTATCTGTAGTTAGAATTGCCCAAATCCACTAGTGAAATGGCCAAAGAGGTTTTCCTCAGCCATTTGATCACTGCTAAGCCACTACCAAGAAAGTACTGCTCTGTGTATTATCTCCCCATATTCTGCAGTTTTACCTAATTCTTCCTTAAACCCCACTCCAAAAACCCAGTGCCATATTCTTGTATTGCACAATTTGGGGATGTTCCTATTGTACAATCACAAATAAAGATCTATCACTACTCAGTACCAGATTCATATTATTTTCAAATTTATCCTAATATTCCTCCTCCGTGACACAGTTTTTTCTCTCTCAAAAAGCTAAAGAAGTTTAGACCATTATTAAAATGCAAAATTTTAATGTGGCATAAATATTCGTAACATGCAGTCCACTCTAGCTGATACATTCTTAACAACCAAGAGCATTCAAGTCATTTAAAATCAAATACATAAATATCCAGGTTCAAAATAACTATTTTAATTCACAAGAGGAAAAAAAATAGAATTTTTAGCAAGTTTTGCTACCAAAGATTAAGCTTCTGAATTTCCTGTACATCAGATTAAGCCTTCAATAGCTTGATTCAAAGCCTGGGATTTTAAACTGTTGGGACATTCCAGAAATTGAAATGGCCATGGTGGAAATTACTCAATAGATAGGTTCATAATCTCCTTGCACTGCTTTGCTGCTTCATGGTCATTTCTTAAAAGAAAGGAAAAAGAAAAACAACTTACATCCTTCTCTGGTATAAAGGCACTTGGTCCTCTTGTTAAAGGCAGAGATACTCTGATTTTCTTTTCCTGTAAAAGAAAATAACAGATGCAATTTTTAGCATAACTTTCCTGTGTCAACTTTCATATTAGGATTTACAGGTGGTAATGAATCAACTGATGGTTATTGCAAAACTTTTATGAAACCTATGGCTATATTTTCATATCTTGTCTCATGACTAATCTAATTAAGAGGTCAGTGTGGCACAGTCCACAAACCCTTCTACAAACTGAAAAAAGAATATTCTATAAAAGCCACTTTGCAACTCAACTTCCATTGTTCCAATCCAATTGCAAAGATGCTGGATAGAATGGGTGATGTAGGTGAGAAAAGACAAAGGTAACTTACAAAAGCAACAAAAGTGGTTTAGGAATTCATAAAAAGACATCCGATTCAGTCAGCTAGCTACCCCTTTTTTAAAAATGCATACTACAGCACTGTCAAAACCATAGTGTCAGGAAAAAATATTTTCATATTTATATATCTCATTTTTACTAAATTCTTACTCTTAAGACAGTACTAATTAGTTAGTTTACTTTATTGTCATTGCACCTCGTACAACGAAATCAAACACCATCTTCAGTGCACATTATGACCATGACCATGAAGTAAACACAAACACACATCCTTCACCCTCCACACATTAAACAAAAAAAAACCGACACCGCACCAATACTGCACTATACAGCAGAATTCAAAAGAGCTACTGCCCTGGGATAGAAGCTGTTTTTCAGCCTATTTGTCCTTGTTTTTATTATCCTGTACTGTAATAGTTCCAAAAAAAGGGCACCCAGAATGAGATGGATCTTTGAGAATGTTTTGAACTTTCTTAAGGCAGCGGGAGCTATAAAGCTCTTCCAAAGAGGGGAGAGGGCAACCAATGATCTTCTGGGCAATGATGTTAACCCTCTGGAGTGCTGTCCTATCTGCCACTGTGCAATTGGCAAACCATACAGAAGTGGAGTAAGTTAAAATACTTTCTATGGTGCAGCGGTAGAAGGTCACCAGCAGTTTTTCAGTTGTTGTTTTCTGAGAAGTCTCAGGTCATATAATCTCTGCTGGGCCTTTTTGACCAGTGCTGCAATGTGAGCACCCCAGGTCAGGTCCTCTTTTATGGTAACACCCAGAAACTTAAAACTGCCCACTTGCTCCACTCAGTCTCCATTGATAAACAAGGGCTGGATGTCTGATCTGTTCCTTCTATAAAAATTAAAAGCAAATTATGCAATATTATCTTAATAGCTACTGGAATCACATAGCCACACCTTACCAGGCACATCCTGATTACCAATTATTATGGCAAAACAGCTTTGGGAAGAGGTAACTTATTGCCAGAGAAGCATTAGGAAGCAGAATGAATCAACATTATTATCAAATTATTATTAAATTTATTTGTTACCCGTCTCATGGTTCAAGGTGACTCTGAACATGACATTCCTTTGTTACTCCACCCACCCTAAATTCCAGATCTAGATTCACTTTTGGTTTATTTCTCATTACAATTATCAATGTCACCTCTAGCCTGTAGCCTTAGGTTCCTGGTTGTCTACTCTCAAACAATTCTATCAACTTTCCCTTGGTGCTACTTATGGTTAAAATTCATTTCCATGACACACACTACCCGTTCAATCTTTTGCATTCCTTCTTAATATTTACTGCTTTCATAAGATCTTTGGCTTACTTCCTTAACCTCCAGCCTCAATTACAATAAAATTCCTCAATGTCTCGTCAATCATGCTTTCTATCCAATCTTTCATTCCCAATCTTCCATATGATGTTAAAGGGATATGTAGGGTAATGACAGGATACAAACAACCTCATGGTCTGCATACAGAATTGATTTCTTAAGAACAGTTCACTATTAGATGCTTATTAGAGATGGGCTGTAGCTGAGTATTAGAGCAGGTGGGCCTCTGTTTAATCTTCAGTTTCTCTAGCCAGAGCTTAAAGATTCCCTATTCTGAAAAATTGGAAACCAGCAGTCAACCACAATGGCCTACAATAGTTCAACCTAACAGTATATAATCTAAAGCAGGGATCTCTAACCGTGGCAACTTTAAAACTTGTGGACTTTAACTCCCAGAATTCCTCAGCCAGCAAAGCTGGGAGTTGAAGTCCACAAGTCTTAAAAGTTGCCACGGTTGGAGACCCCTGATCTAAAGTGTCCTCCAGGCTTGGATAAGATCTCTACCCCAATTATGTCAACTAAAAAATACTTCTTTGGTAGTTGTCATTTTGATTGTTAATATGACAGAACGGGGGAAATATTTAAAATATGAGGAATAATCACATAAATGGTATTCAATTCAACTAAAATCCTCCTTTTTCCCCCCTTGTCCTGATCAGATCACAGTTTCATGCTTCTCAAGGCCAAAAGAGACCTTAAGTCTGAAAGAGACTAGGCTACCAAGCCTAATTGTTTCAGTCAAATTTTAGACATCTTTAAAAGTTCTCTGTACATCATAAGAAGTGAGGCAACTGTAATTCTCCAGGTGTTGATCAACTATCATTGTTATAACTCTAGTTTGCATGATCAACAATGAAGGATGTTAGAAGCTTTAAGTTGAGCAACTCTGGAGGGTGATACTGCCTTTGCCAACAGAATGAACACAGGTTAGAAACTGGGTTTATCCTGTCCTCTTACTTGTTTAAGGATAGGGAGTCTGATGTGCCTAATATGTGGCATGTCTGTTACTACAACCACTTGCCATAAACCCAGAGACAAATGCTATTCAGTTCTGATGACTGGACAGTGTACTTAGTTATGAAGCTATTATTTTTTTAAAGCATTATTTGACAGGAAGGTATTCTGGAAGCATCAGCAAGCAGCCTGAAAATTCAAAAGGTTCTTAACCAAAGCCTTCTAAACAAGTCAGATTTATTTCACATTGAAATCTATCACCCACAGATTGCTATGTCAGTAATATGACAAAACAAGATATTTGGAGACCCTTCTGGTCTGATAGCAATTTTCACTAACCACAGGCAGCCATTTGTAATACTGTTGTAAGATTAGAGTGTTTTAATCCAGGTGGGCACAAAAATGAATCTGACATCTGAACAATACATAAATATATGCTCCAAGGCAGTCAAACAATATGTCATTTCTTGGAAAGTATCAGAAAAATAAGCTCCAGCAAGTTCCAACAAGAAAAAATGAAATAAAATGAAGAACTGCCAAGTCAAAATGCATCTGTCAAGCTTGCTGAGCAGAAAAAGCAGACATGTAAAGAATTAATGCAAATTGTTTCCAACAATTTTGGACTAGAATTGAAGATATAAAGAACAGTATGCTTGTTCCATGATGGCTGTTTATTAATTTTAAATTCCCCATGTTTTGGTACTTTAGAGTGTTCTCTTTTTCTGTCATTTTATTCTCAAGTTCAAAAACATTTAAATATTCAAAAATGTAATATAGCACCTTCTCAATCTCTATTTTCCCTCCATGGAAAATTTTTCTAACATGATGCCTTCCAGATCTGTTGGAACACACCTCCCCATATCCTTAAATCTGCAGAATCATTGGCCATTTTGCCTGTAATTCCTGGACTACTGCATTTCCATGAGATGGAGAAATCTATTTTAGTTCTGTTTGCTCTAAACCAGTGTCTCTCAACTTCAACATCTTGAAAATGTATGGATTTCAACTCCCAGAATTCCCTCGCAGCATGTTCACACATCTTGATATTGTTGAGTTTGAGAAACACTGCTCCAAATCAATGTTTAAGTGTCCACCCGGTCTAAATTCATTCTAGCAGGAAAGTTGTTTCTAACACCCCTACTGGTCTTCAAAGCTAGACCCGCAGTGCAGAATCGAGAGCTTCTACCTGAGTTTTCAAAAACCTAGTGTCCTAAAAATGATGGATCTGAACTTGAAATTCACTGAAGTGCCTGTTAATCACCATCATTAAAAAAAGTGGGGGAGATATAAAAACCATATGTGTAATGTGTGCATGTTATTAATATAAAATAATATACTGTGAACAAACTAATGGCAACATTAAAATGGTCAAGTGCTTACACAGCTATTCATCAGGATCTAGGAACATGGGAGGGAACATAGAACATTTCAAGATACTGGGATTAATTTATTAAAATATCTTAAGGAGGCAGACTTACTGTAACCAGTCATTTATTCATTTGATTTATGTCTTGCTTTTCATGCAGGTGCTCAAGGTGGTGCACACACTGCACTTAGTTCTCCTACTTTCCCCACGGCAACAACATCATTTTGCTGAAAGGTGGTTTTCCAAACACTTTTACTTCTCAAACAGCTGACGTTCAGTGGCATACTGCTTCACGCACCGGCAATACCCTACAGCAGGGATGTCAAACTCGATTACGTTGAGGGATGCATCAGGGTTGTGTTTGACTTTGGAGGGCTGGTGTGGGTGTGGCCAGCTCGACGTCACTCGTGTCAGGGGTGACTGAGGAGGCCTGAGTGCCCTGCCAGCGAAAACGGGCTACCAATTTCTGTTATCGGCTGGGACGGTCTCCTGCAGCCTTCTGCTAGTGAAAACAGAGCTCAGGAGGGCCACAGGCAGTAGAGGCACCACGGCCAGAACTAAGCATCCTGCGGGCTGGATCCAGCCTGCGGGCCTAGAGTTTGACACTCCTGCCCTACAGCTTTTATAACTAGCAGCCACTGACAATCTTCTTTACAAGTGAATTTTTTTTTTTAAGGTCATCTAAAATACAGTAGCCACTGTTCCATCATTTAGGTCAGTGGTGGCTCCTTTTTTGGCTCCTGTGCCGATAATTGCGTGTGCGCTCGCATGCCAGCACCAAGAAGGCAATGCGTGCTGGGGCCCCCACGCATGCACACGCGACGCCCCCTTCTGCATTGCGTGTCTCTGTGCATGCGCGTGTGATTCCCCTCGCGCACCACATACCTGCGCGTGCAATCCCCTCACTCGCAATGCATCCCTGTGCATGCACGCACATCTTCCGTGTACCCCCCTCCACCCCCTGGGCATGTGCGCCAGATACCCGACAATCAGCTGTGCAGTGGAGCTTTTCCAGGTGACCT